GGGAGCACCGTGTGAGTTTGTCCCAGCCGTTGCCACCCCAGGCTGCTGCCCCCAGCCTCCCACGCTGGGCTGGCCAGAGAGCAGGATGCCCCATCCCACTCCTTGGTGTCTGTCTCATGGGGCAACTGGGAGGCGCATCATGACATCCCAGCAGAAACACGTGTGGTGGGCACTGGGCTGCACCAGGGCTGTGTTTTGGGGGTGCTGGTCTGGGGGTGCTGGTGCTGCACTCGGATGCGAGTGCCCTGGGGGGTGACTGTTGCCCAGTCTGCTCCTCATCATCATCCTCTGCAGCCCACCTCTTCCCGGTGAAGGCCACACAGACCGTGAACATTGCTGAGCCGGCCACCTTCTCTGCCAGGGTCATCAAGAGGAAGGAGACAGACGTGATGTGGAAAAGAAATGGCAAGTGACCCTGAGAGCAGGCGTAGGGCTGGCGCTGCTCCCAGCCGGGTCCTGGCAATGATCCCAGCCGGGGTCCTGGCAATCGTCCCAGGGGCACAGGGGGACCCCAGGTCACCCTCTGTCCCCTTATAGGCACCTACTACCAGACCATGGATCGGGGCGAGGTGAGAGGCGACCTTGTCACCCTAATGCTCCCCAATGTCAGCATGAGCGAAAATGGGGTCTACAGCGCCACGTTCATGGGGGATAGCCCTCTGTGGAGTGCCTTCTACCGCCTGATCGTGAGAGGTGAGTGGGGACCCAGCTCCCCAGGACACAGGGACAGGAAGCTACACTCTGTCCCCGGTGCCACCCTTTTTCCCCCCTCCGCTCTCTCTGCAGCCTGCCCCATGAAGAAATGGGGACCATCCTGTGAGAAGGACTGTCCTGACTGTCTGAACGGCGGCATCTGCCACGACCACGTTGGCGAATGTGTCTGCCCTCCCGGCTTCATGGGCACCCGCTGCGAGCGAGGTAGGTGCTGGCTGCCTGGCAGCAGGAGCTGTGCCCAGGGCACGCATGGGGGCCCTGCTGCACCCTCAGACCCAGGCACCATGGCCACAAATGCCACGTACATCCCCAGCCTCACTGCGCATTGCTCTCTGTGCCTGTAGCAGGGTCAGACCAGCCACCTTCTCAGCAGGATGTGGCTTCAGGACGTGCTTGGGGTGGGGCTCAGGGCACCTGAGCCGGTGCCATGCTGTGCACAAGCAGTGCATGGGCAAATGATGGGTGAGGACAGACCATGCTTGTTTTTCCCAGCCTGCCGGGAAGGGCAGTTT